GCACTTTTATAAGATACACAGGTGACTCCTGTGTGAGAGGCACTTTTTTTTTTTTTTATAAGAATGCTCCTAGAAGGCCAGCTTATGTCAATGATTGAGCATGCAGGCAGTGGCTGTAGAAGGCAACATACGGCCTGCCCCTACTCTCCACCATGCCCCCAAGGCTGGTCCTGTGCTACACAGGCATCCTCTCCATCAGACACCAGGACACCCTGGGGCTGGCCAGATATTAATTTTAACCTGCTTTTATTTACCACTGTGCAAATGTGGGGAGGGGAAGGATGCGTGTGGGGGTGGAGGGGAGTGGAGAGACCTCTGACATGACTTGCTGTGGGCTCATTACCCTTTAAGTGTGCTTTATAATCACTACCATTCAGTGAATACTGTGTGCTGGGGCCTTTACTTACCTCATTTCCACTCCTCACAACAACCCCAAGAAACAGAATTTTTTCTAACCCCATTTTACAGATGAGGAAACTGAGCCCTGGGAAGTTCGGGCTTGCCTGAGGTCACCCAGTCGGTGACAGTCTGAGCTTTTACTCTTCCACACTGCATCCCCAACCCTGCCTAGGTCACCGGGCTCTGAACACCCACAGCAGCCACTGTGGGAGAGGACGCCCAGCAGACTACAGAGCAGGTGGTTTTTGGTGATAATTCAAAAAAGGAAAAACCTCCAACTCCCAGGAGGAGGCTGTGCCTGTTCCATGTTACAGAGATGGGAATCGGCTGGGCAAACAGGCAGGCACTGCAGGGCAGGATTCACAGGTTTTCCACCAAACCCGCTGCTGCAGAAGGTTTCAACATTAAGCCATAGCGTGGCCTTACTTAAAAGCAGATTGTTTATGAGGCACACGGTGCCGTCTAGACCTGAGAACGTTTATGAGTGTGGCTGTACTGTGAGTCGGGCTTAAACACCTGAGTTCCCTACTCCTGGTAGGCTCTCTGACTTGTGCAGGAACAAATGGGATTTTTGGGGGTAGAGGGCGTGTGATTTCAGACATTTGGTAATCCCTTCCTGTTGGGCCCCTTCCTTACCTCTGTGTTTCTTTGTAGATGCGGGAATTGAGGAAAACTGGAGAGGAGGTTTCCTCTGCAATGCCGGGCATGTCTGTACATTTCTTCAGTAGCCCTGGCCACGAGGGCAATTATGTAATTACTGGTGTGAGTTTTGCTCATTGCCTGTACCTTCCCCACCCCACCACCCACCTTGAGGGCTAGGGCAGTCATGCGGCCTTCCTCCTTTGTAGCCTGGTACATGGTAGGTTTTCAAAAAGAACAAGTGGATGAAAAGTCACATTTCATACAGGCTGAAGTGTGGATATCTTGAGGCAGACTTTTGATTCTAAGTAGAAACATGTTTGTGCCCGTTCAGCTGAATGGTCAAAGGAGACGGTGAGGGAGCAGATGGAGAAATGGTCCTGGGGTTGCTTTTTGGGTTCAAGTTATTAATCCTCCTGTCTCAGGGGCCCTGCTGATAATGGTGTGTGCCCAGCTGGTCTTCCTGATTTCAGACGAGGTTGCAATGTAAAGACCCGGGATGGAGATGCTCTTGTCCTTTATGTACTTTGGAAGCATGTCCCCAAGACCTCCACTCACTGTCCCTTGAGGAGCAAGGAGGAATTCAAGTTTGCTCTGAAGAAGAAAGGAAAAAGGAAGGTTCTACTTTCAGGACACTCACTCTGGGTTAAAAAAGACTGACGCTTATTGAGCAGTTACCCCCGGCCCAGGCGTATTCTCGAACACCTGACACGTACTCCTCACCAGGACCTGTGAGGCAGATGTTATTTCTCTACTAGGTGAATGAGAAAACTGGCGTACAGAGAGGTTATGTAACTTGCCAATGTCACACACCTAGAGAGTGGTATTAGCCTGGACTTCAGCCTTGTTTCTAAGCATTATGCAATACTGTCTGTGGACTGGCTCAGCGTATTCTTCAACTTCCTGAAGCAGACACTCTTATAAATGCAGACAGAAGCTGCATTTCAGATTTCCTTGTTTTTTTCTTAACAAACCTCAATGTGACAACCATTCTTAGCTCGCTGGGTGCTACAAAAACAGGCTGAATATGCAGCTAATAAAGTATTTGGTGTGAAACACCCCAAAGAAGATAAAATGGGAAGGGTATATAGAGAGGGAGGTGGCCATAAGGGTGGCCTTATCAGCTAGAGGGGTCAGGAAGGGTCTTCCTGAGAGGGTGCTGTGAAGCTGAGGCTTGAATGGGAAGGGTGCAAAGAACCCTGGTAAAGCATTGAGCACGGTGTCTGCTCCATGTATTAAGTGGCTAATGAAGGCTGGCCATTATTATTAGCAGTAGTGTTGTTTTTGTGTTTTGTCATTAACTGGCTGTCTGAACCTCGGCTGGGTCCCACCACTCTGCAGTAGAGCAGAATGTCTTTTCTCCAGGCTTGGCAGGTGCACAGATGAAAATGATTTCTAGCATTGTCTCCTCCTGACTTCCTGTCACTCCTTTGAAATAGAGAAGCAGAATGCGCCCTCTTTTACATTTTCAGTGTAAGATTCATTGTAGGAAAAGGGAAATTTTTGTGGAGAGACAGCCACCATGCTTATTAACATTTATGGAGCCCTTTTAGTTTCCTCAGCGCTGAGCAAGGCTTGATGCGAATGTGGGCACTTTCCTTTTCACACCCAGCTGGAAGCATCCCCTGGCGATGGCACCGTGGGACCCTCTGCCTCGCTGGGCTGTTAGTCGGGAATCGGCAAGTGGACTTATTTTCTTACGCCTTAGAATGTTGCTACCCTCCTCTGACCCTGCATGGTGAAGAATTTATGCCTATTGTAACTTGACAATAGAGCCTCCTTGAGGTCAAGTTCAGCTTGCCGCATAATCAAAGGGGTGGTTTCTACCCTCGCCCATCTTTAGCTTATGGAGGAATGTAGGAGTTGTTCCAGCAGCCACCCACATCCTCCACGGCCTGTGTGTGCTCACTGTCTGCTTTCTCCCAGAACAAGCTCCCAGGACTGTAGCCCTTCCTCAGATAAAATAAAGCCATCCAGTCGTGTCTTTACATTTGACGTAAGCGAAGGGAAGTTTTTCTTGCTAGGTACTGAATGGGGCTGTTGTGAGGCCCTGGGGTAGCTCTGAGTCTGGCTCTCTGCTGAAAAGGGGCCTTTAAGCTGGAAGGCTCATTCATCTCCATGCAGCCTCCTTCTGTCCAGCTATGGGTCCAGCCACGGTTGAAGGGAGGTGGAGCCTTCCCCTGGATTTACAGCAGGGCATCCCACGTTTCATATTTGTTTATCTATTCCTCCGTTGCCTGTGTAGATAGATGTTAAAGAAATTCTTGATCATCTTACTATTATGCTTGTCCGGGCAGTGTTATGTGTCTGGGGTGGTTTCTCCTTTTTTGCCCCAGTTCTGCTACCACTTCTCTGGTCTGGGCTTGCATCACTTAATAACATCAAGCCTCCCCTCCCTCCAGCTTGCCTCCTTTCCTCCTTCCCTTTGTCTTTCCTTCCCTTTTTGTCTACCTGCCTACACTGAATGTTTTCTCAGGTCTACCATATGCCAGGCATGATGTTAAGGTTTGGAGGTTTAAAAAAACAGTGAGTAAGATCCCTGTATGTGTAGAGTCAGGTAAAGACACAAAGGCTCATTTAATCACCACTTGGGTAAGGCCTGCAAAGGAGAAATCCAGGGAGCTGTTAGTCAGATGAACCTGTCTTTTGAGAGGTCAGCACATAGCAAAAACAATCATAACAGCTTCCCAGTTCTTGTTGAGTCATAGAAGAACTGATGTATTTTAGAAATGTTTCCGTTTGCAGTGCTTGGTTGAGAGCTGGTGCAAGTCAGAGGTAGCACGTGCTCCCAAAAGTGAATATATCCCTGCTGAGGCTGGCTGGGGTTGACTGTGAGACAGGCAAGGTGTGGCCGTGGGCTGCTGGTGACGAGGGCTCTCTTTCCTCCAGATAACTCTATGCCTTTATAATCTAAAAGGATGGTTTGGCTGCCTTTCCTCTAGGAAAGGTTACCTGACCTCAACAGGTGAGAGTTGAGGTCACAAAAGGACCAGCCTGGAAGAGAACTAGGCAGGCTTTCTGATCCGGCAGCAAATCGATTGGTGGGCTTCTGTGTTACCTGTGGATACTAACTTCCTCCAGTAGTTTTTGGCCCCCTGAGAGCCAATCTGATTGTTACCAGCCAGCTTGTTTATGAGCAAAGATGAATCTGTTGGCAAACATGCTTGTCCTTATTAGGTTCTTATTGCCATTCATGCCTTTTTCTTGATGTGTTTCTTTTGAGTAATTGTTCTGTGTGTTGGCCCTGGCAGGTCTCTGCAGTTTGGATTTGTAACATTGGCGCTGAGCTTTGGGAATTGACAGGGGCTGGGCAGAGAGATGAGCTGTCAGTCCCTTTGTTTCACCCTGACTGGTCCAGCAGAGCCCTCTTGTCATACCGTGTGCTATTGAAGGTGCCTTGGACAAGAGGAAGGATAGAGGAAGAAATTGGTTTCCGAGCTCTTGCGTAAACACAGCATAGCTTGGAGTCTTAAAAGCCAAGGCTTGAGGTAGAGCTGGCCTCGAGGTTGGCCAGGCAGTAATGATTTCTATAGCCACTGCTGTGGCAGCTGCACAGTGGAGCTGAGTGGGACCAAGTTCACCTAACCAAGGTTTCATCATCAATGCCCTGTAAACTGAACTTGCCTTTTTTTTTTTTTTTTTTTTTTTTCAAAGGATCAGGGTTCATGGAGTAAATGACTCTGGCTGTGTTAAGCAGCCTCTACTTTATGAAACAAACAAACAAACAAACTAAAAACAAACCATCAGAAATCCCAGGCTGTTAAAACCTGATGTTTTCTGTTGCTAGGAAAAGGGTGTTTTTGCTACATATGAAAGACATGACGGGGGCATTTTTAAGCTTTGTTCTGGTTATTGTCAGTTCTGCCAACAAGTCACATCTGTATTTATTTTCCAAACTCCCCCAATGGCTGATTTGCATCTGTTTAGTTCTCTGAATAACATTTCATTTCCTGACTTTATAGGTTGCTATAAAATCCATTCGTAAGGACAAAATTAAGGATGAACAAGACATGGTTCACATCAGACGAGAGATTGAGATCATGTCATCTCTCAACCATCCTCATATCATCAGTATTTATGAAGGTCAGTGATTTTTTTCTTCACCCCCGTATCAGTTACCATTTCTCATACCATGGGGCTTGCCAAGACTGTGAGATAATTGCCCTTCTGGGCAGAAGCCAAGTATTTTTCCTCATGATGCAAAAATAGCTGGGTGCTATCTCTTACTTGGTTACCTTGAACACAGCCAGACACATGAGTGCAGCTCGTTTTGGTCGTAAAATGTCCCTGGCGGATGCCTTATTCTGCCTTCTTACCTCCTTGGCTGTTGCTAAGCAACCCACCTTATTGAAAACCAGTCTGTGAGACAGCCCTGGTTTCTGAAAAATGACGGTTTGCTGGGTGACCACGTAACAATGGATGCGTTGTAAATGTCATTCCCCAAAGCCAGTCGCTTTGGTGGTGCTATGGAGTTATTCAAGGTTAGGCTCTTTGAGTTCGAAATTAACCCTGATCAGGTCCAGTAAGCACCAAGAAAGGGGGTTGGTGCAGCAGACGCCTTATAAATGGAGCCCGAATTGTGTTGGTGTTTGCAAAAGAGCAGAGTGGGGAAAAGCTTATACAAATACTCAGGCTTCAGTTCAATTCTTTGGTCCTTCATGAGAAGAAATGGGGAGAATAAACCTCCCATGGACTATCATTTATTTTTTAAGACCGTGTAAATAAGTTACATAGCAGTCTGTGTTTATTGTAGAAATGATTGAAATAGAAATGTTAAAATTAAAAACTAATTTCTGTTCTGACTCCCAGTTTGCTGAATAGTTCTCTATCCTTATCTCTGTTTTTGTCTATTTCTCTGTATCTATTTGTGGCTTTTGTCCAAAGTTAGATGGTGCTGTGTAAACCGTTTTTTAGCTTGTTTCGCTTTTCATTTGTTGTCTCATGCATCTTTTCTGTGTCAATACATATTCCCCTGTAAGACACTTGAAAAGGTCTTATAGCATTCTGTTTATGGACATATCATCATTTATTGAATCTAATTTCTTTTGCCAAACATTTAAGTTGTTCCAAATTTCTGGTTAATATAAACAGGGCTTCACGACTCTCTTTGTGCATCATTTTGACACTCATTTCTAATGATTTTCTTATGAAAATTTCCCAGTTTTGGTTTTATTGAGTCAGTGTTTCCCTAGAATATTTAAAAATATATGACTGAGTCAGAAAAATGAACCTATTGCCAGGTGCGGTGGCTTATAACTTTGATCCTGGTACTTTGGGAGTCCGAGGCAGGCAGATGGCTTGAGGTTAGGAGTTCAATACCTGCCTTGCCAACATGGTGAAACCCATCTCTACTAAAAATACAAAAATTAGCCAGTTATAGTGATGTGCACCTGTAGTCCCAGCTACTCAGGAGGCTGAGGCATGAGAATCACTTGTGCTCAGGATACAGAGGTTACAGTGAGCTGAGATCGTGCCACTGCACTCCAGCCTGGGTGACAGAGTGAGACTATGTCTCAAAAAAAAAAAAAAAAGAAAAAAAAAGAAAAATGAACTTGTTTTTAATTTCTGGTCTGATCATAAGAAGTTCTCAGGCAGGGCTAAAAGGAAAACAACCAGTGGTGACCCTAAAATTTTTCTGATATGTTTTTTCATCTGGTTCCCTGATCTCTTTTGTCATTCTTTTTTTCTGCTGCTTCTATTTTTGCTTCTTATTTAGAAGTAAATGTTGGTAATATACATCTTTTATCCTGATCTTTTGAAGACTCATTTTTGTAGCCCTTGGTGATAGGATTTTTTCAGGGAAATGTTTATCCATTCCATCTTTTATTTATTCCACAAACACCTCTTAAAATGCTTCTTAAAGTCCCTAGGCCAGCAGTGTCAGCGTCACTTGAGATTATTAGAAATGCAGATTCTCAGGCTTTACCCAGGTCCTGCTCAATTGGAAACTCTCTGGGTGGGGCTCAGCAATCTGTGTTTTAACAAGTTTGAGAACCACTAGTCTACTGAGTGTCTACTCCTCGTTAAGCACTCTGTTGAATGAGACTGGAAATTTAAAAGCAGAATGTGTTATCGACCCCACATTCAAGAAGCAACATGGACCCCGCACTCAAAAAGCAATACAGGCCGGGCACAGTGGCTCACGCCTGTAATCGCAGGACTTTGGGAGGCTGAGGTGGGAGGATCACTTGAGGTCAGGAGTTTGAGACCAGCCTGGCCAACATGGTGAAACTCTGTCTCTACTAAAAACACAGAACTTACCTGGGTCTGGTAACATGCGCCTTTAATCCCAGCTATTTGGGAGGCTGAAGAAGGAGAATAGCTTGAACCCGGGAGAGTAGAGGTTGCAGTGAGCTGAGATCCTGCCATTGCACTCCAGCCTGGGCGACTGAGTGAGACTTTGTCTCAAAAAGGAAAAGACGCAATACAAGGCAGTAATGGAATAAGTACTATGTGGATGTATTAGTCTGTTCTCACCCTGCTATAAAGAACTGCCCAGCTGGGCGAGGTGGCTCAGGCCTATAATCCCAGCACTTTGGTTGCCAAGGCAGGTGTATCACCTGAGGTTGGGAATTTGAGAGCTGCCTGACCAACATGGAGAAACTCCATTTCTGCTAAAAATACAAAAAATTAACTGGGTGTGGTGGTACATTCCTGTAATCCCAGCTACTCGGGAGGGAGGAAGGACAACTGCTTGAATCTGGGATATGGAGGTTGCGATGAGCTGAAATTGTGACATTGCACTCCAGCCTGGGCAACAAGAGCAAAACTGTGTCGGAAAAAAAAAAAAAAAAAAAGAACTGCTCAAGACTGGGTAATATAGAAAGGATATTGACTCACAGTTCCGCATGGGTGGGGAGGACTCAGGAAACTTACAGTCATTGTGGAAGGGGAAGCAAACATGTCCTTCTTCACATGGTGGCAGGAAGGGTAAGTGCCAAGAAAAAGGGGGAAAAGGCCCTTATAAAACCATAGCTCTCATGAGAACTCAGTCACTATCATGAGAACAGCATGAGAGTAATGGTCCCATGATTAAATTACCCCCAACTGGGTCCCTCCCACAACACATAGGGATTATGGGAACCACAATTCAAGATGAGATTTGGGTGGGGAGACAGCCAAACCATATCAGTGGACATGTAAACAGCATATTCTGGGACCATGTTCTAGAAGCTTGGGGGTTGGAATTTTTCATGGAGGTGTATGGCATTTGGGCTGGTCCTTGAAGGAATTTTTTTGTTGGGGAAGAATTGTGGAAAATAGAATTCCAGGCTGATAAGATACAATCTGAATATGCCTGGTGACTGAGGGGAATTTCTAGAAGTTAGAAGTGAGTTGAGATACAAATGCAGTGTGGGAGTGAGTTTCGTTAAGTTATCAGGGTTTTTCCTCTATTGGCCATGGTGAAGGATTGGCCTGTAGGGTGTGGACACATACAGTCCGGTGCCCTGTGAACACTATTGTGTTTTGGGGTTTCTTGGCCCAGAGCATGAGCCTTCTTTATCAGGAAGGCAAAGAATACATTCCTAGCATGAAGGTTCCAGGTTCTTTATCTGAGAGGCAGTCTGTGGTCCTTGGTGTCCCACCTGGAGAAACCCAATTTCTTCACCAGCACCATGTCCTTTGTGGCCTTGGGAATCAGACAGGACAAACGGAGAACAGGAAACCATCCCCCTGCCAAAGGAAAGATTAGAGACAAACCATAATGGAAGAATATTTTATTACCAGTGTGAAGTTGGCCTCAGTAGAGACCGAGCTGGAGGTTTCAAGGAGAAGAGAAGTCCCGAAAGCTCTTGCTTCTCACTTTATGGATGCATAGCAGTGTGAATGGAAGTTCTTTAGGTTACTTGATGGAAAGAATTTCTATCAAGATCTCAGGAGGGAACTTGGGCTTCAGTTGGTGAAACCCTTAGGGCAGGTGTTAGGGAGTTAGGGAAGCCTTGAGGTCTCACGTCAGGAGGCCTTGAGTTTCAGTCTCCAGTCCTCCTCTGTGACCTAGACACCAGACTTGGGGGAAGATGGTAGGCTCCTCAGTGCCTCAGTAATCACATCTGAAAAATGAGGTTGACCATTCTAGCTGTCATGGGGTTTTCAGTAGGATTAAATGACATGATACATATATCTGCTAAGCTCAAAAAAGATAGTTATTATGAGGACACTGTAGTCATCACAAATAGTTCATAACATGGGGCCCATTGACAAGGGTATGTCATGGATGAGATGCAAGGATCTTTGGATCCCTTGGAATAGTATGTCACTATGCTGTCCAACACAGAAGCCACTAGCCACGGGTGGATATTTAAAGAATTAAAACAAAATAATTTATAATGTAGTTCCTCAGTCACACTAGTTTTGTTTCATGTGCTCAGTAGTCACATGAGGCTAGTGGCTACCATATGGGACAGTGTAGCAACAGAACATTTTTGTCCTCATGGAAAGTTCTGCTGAACAGTGCGGCTGTATAATGTTGTATGTCTTGTGTGCATGGTACATAGCTTTCATCAGACTCTCAAAGACATTCCTGACCTCAAATAGGATAACGAGAACCCAGTGCCTCCAAGTGTTTTGTGACCTGCAGAGTATCATACAAATAAAAGCTATTGTTTTTATCCAGAAAACTCTCAGGGTCTTACGTGTGTCCTTTTTTTTTCTTTTAATTTCTTAGAGCTCTCCAGTTTCTGTTCTGTTCCCTTTCCCTTCTCCCACGCAAGTTCTGTTTCTCCCACATCCACTAAATAACTGTGGAGGAGGGCAGCTCCCCTCCCTTCCCTGGGGTGTTGGGAGCAGGAGATTGCCAAGGCTGTATTCCAGCTCCTACACCTCTCACTGGGACCTACCGTCCAAGGATCCCATGACTTTCTTTGCTTTCCTGCCCAGCAGGACCCAAAGATCCAGTTCTGAAAGTGAAGCTAGACATCCTGTCATCTGTAGAACTCTTCAGAGTTTACAAAGGTCTCCCATATCTGGTCTCATTTTATCCCCACAGCAAACCCGTGAGGTGGGCAGGCCAGGGATTCACATTTTGTAGTTGTGGAAATGGATGCTCTAGATTTAATGACTTGCTGAGTGTATTAGTTAGTTAG